CTTGTAATTGCTCTTTAAAGCTTAAAAGTATTATTTCTCATTGTAATTGCTCAGAACAGAGCAACCGGTACATACTGTACAACATTTTCCTTTTGTGTCTCACAGAAGCAAGTAAGTCTGTTTTGGAACACCATGAGCTGAGTAATGAATTCTTTTTTTGGGTGAAATCCATTTGTTATGGCAATAACAATGGGATGGATGCACAACCATACACACAGCCACACTCCATTACAGCCACCCTGCCAAAGAGAGACTACATTGTTTTACTTGTGATTAATGAGAAACACAAAGCTTCCTTTGGCTTGCTTACGCCTTCTCTCATTTTATTGATTTAAATGTTATTCTTATCCACCAATGACGTGTAGGGCTGATCTCCTGCAGAGGTGAATTGTGCTCTGATTGGGCATTATTGAATGCTTTTCATTCTTGGCTTGTACAGACACAGACATATTTCTAACGTAATCAGATCACCTGGGAACTTATAACATTTACTGTATCATCCTTTGTGTGTAGCTGAAATTTTAGGGCTATTGTTTATCTTTACAAAAGGTATAACTGAACTCACTGAAGTGACAACAATATAGTGTTCTACTGTTTGAAACATATATAGTGGAATAATGCTACAGATTAACTACTGTATTTAAAAATAAATAAATAATATACAGTGTATACTGCATAGTATACAATCAGTTTGGAAAGTAGTTGGTATTGTGTTCCCTATCCAACAAAGCCTTACTGTTTCCAGTGTGGCAAATAAATCTGAAAGTCTCTTTCTTGAGTGTTTATTTGATTGGACTCCCAAAAGTGAAGAGTCTTTTGCTTAAAATTGGACTAGAAATGCTAACAGGATTTATTTCAGATTACATTACATTTATTTCACTGGTGATGGCATATTATCATGGTATATTACAGTGTGACACCTTTATTGTTGCATAATGCGTTGTTTTGTGTACAGTATGGTATTTATAAATGATATACTCTGCTGTTTTAAAGTTCTGTCTTTACTGTGTTTTTGATTAAATAAATGCAGCCTTGGTGAGTATAAGAGACTTTTTTCAAAAACAAAAATCTGAGCAACCCCAAATTTTGGAACAGTGGCATACTTTGCTGTAAAGTAAGGCTACGTTTACACTAGTGCGTTTTCGTTTTAAAACGCAGAACTTTTACTACGGTTACGCCTGTTGTTTACACTACTCCGGCGTTTTCGACCCTCGAAAATGGAGATTTTCGAAAACGCTGTAGACCCCGTTTTAGTTTGAAAACTCCGGGGTTGCGTTTCAGTGTAAATGCCGTTTTAAAACGAAAACGCACTAGTGTAAACAGGGCCTAAATAGTCAGCTGGTATTCTATTCTGGGCACGTATTCTGTTGACTTTTTGCTACAGCACCTTGATATTTCAGCTTGACTTTTGCCCACCTTGTTTCTGGTTTATGGATTAGACAG